ACTCTACATCACTAATCATTAGAGAAATGCACATCAAAATCACAATGAAATATCGCCTTATATCCATTAGGATGGCTGCTATTTAAAAAAATTAAATAACAAGTACACTATACCGGTGAGAATGTGGAACTCTTGCGCACTGTTAGAGGGAATGTGAAATGCTCTAGCCACTGTGAAAAACAGTATGGAAGTTCCTCCAAAAACTAAATTAGAATTACCACATTACTCAGCAATAGCTCTGCTGAGTCTCTATCCCAGAGTATTGAAAGAAGGGTCTCAAGGGATGTCTGTACACTCACCTGCATAGCAGCATTGGTCACAATAACCAAAAGGTGAAAGCAACTCAGTCATTCATTAGACAATGAATGGATAAAGAAAATGTGTCACATACCTGCAATGGCACATTATCAGCCTTAAAAAGGAAGGAAATTCTGACACATGACACACAACATGGATGAACCCTGAGGACATTATCAGGGTTCACACCCTGATACCTTGTGAGGTATCAAGAGCAGTCAAAAAGTAGAATGGCAGTTGCCAGGGATTGGGGGAAGGGAGAAATGAGGAGTCAGTAGGTGTAGAGTTTCAGTTTTGCAAGATGAGAAAGTTCTAGAGTTGGTTGCACAACAATATAAATATACTTAAAGTACTGAGCTGTATGCATAAAATGGTTTAAGGTGGCAATTTTTATGTTTTGTGTATTTTACCAAAAATTTTAAGAAGAGCTAAGAGGGGATGGGGCTTGCTGCTTGGTGATGAAGGCAAATGGTTCTTGGGCCAATCATATATAAGTGAGCCTCAATTCCTTTTAGAATTACAATGCTCCCTAGATTCCTGCCAGCCTCCAGCCGCCAGGGCAGTGGTCAGGGCAGGGGTCTGGAAAGGCTATTCCCTAGCTCACCATTGGCCATCTTGATGGAGGTAAAAACTCATTCACTTCTTTGCCTTACTTTGTGACCAGTGGTCACTCTGTGTTCTATCTGAAGCTCTAAAACATGCTAGAAGGAAGAATTCTCTCTCTGGTGTTAACCTTATGTTATCTTGTGGGCATCCCATGCATCCATCTACCCACCCTTTCATCCATCATTCTTTCTGTAAGCTGAGGCTTATAGGCTGGTGAGGAATTGGGATGCATTATCATGGTGTAACATGTTCTATGATAGGGACCATCTAGAGCACTAAGCAAGGAACTAAGCAAAGGCAGTTCACACAGGCAGTTTAGTCAGCTTGAGACTTGAAAGATCAACAAGACAGAAACAGTAAAGTGGAGAAGAGGTAGAGCCCAGTTGAAGATCTGAGAACACAGTCTGGCTGAGCGAAAGAGGAAAGAGGAAAGCAAGGCCTGGATCTTGTAGGATATTTTCTTTCTCAGATGGGAGTGAGGTTTGAATTCAGGGCTTCACATTTTGCTCTGGCTATTTTGGAGATGGGGCCCCACAAACAATTTGTCCAGGCTGTCCTCAAACCATTATCCTCCTCTCAATCTCAGCTTCCCAAGTAGCTAGATTACAGGTATGAGTCACTGGTATAAGGCCTTTAAGCTCCTTCTGAGCACCTTACCAGGTGTGCCGGGGGAGGATATGAATATTTTCAGATGAGCTGTGTGGATCCAGTTGGAGAAGCATGGAAGACAAGGGTGTCTGGAGTCAGATTTGGGGCCCAGATTCTCAGAGCAGTAAGCAAGATGCTCAGCCACTGCTCTACCTCTCTCTGCCATCTCAAGGCAAACTCGCCACCCAGAAGGACACTTCTTTTGGAGAGACTGGTGTTTGAATTCAGGACCTCATGCTTGCTAGGCAGGCCTCTGCCACTTAGGTCACTCTGCCAGCCCTTTTTTTTATGTGTTTTGGGTATTTTTGAGATAAGGTCTCTTTTTTTTGGGGGGGGGCGGGTTTAGGCTGGCCTCAAACTGTGATCCTCCTGATCTCTGCCTCCTGAGTAGATAGGATTGTAGGCATAAGGTACTGATGCCCAGTTGAGAGTGATTTTCTTAAAAACATCCCCAGTGTATCTTCCCAGCCCTGTTGATCTCTGGTCCTCTCTCTGTGCTTAAGAACACAATCTTCAATCAAGGATTTGGCAACACCGGGTCTTCTCTCCTCTGCATGTCTTACCAGTCATCCTGCTCTCCTCAGACCACTTGGATGTGCCCTTTTGGAGCCCAGGACCAGCTTGCTCAATGCCCACCCCACATGTCCACATGTCCCAAGTGTGAACTTCCTAGAAGCCACCTTTGTGCCCAGCTCCAGCCACAGCTGTATCTCCAGTTTATATGCTTCTGAGAATAGGCTGGCTTTTACAACCTAGGCATATCCTCTGACCCCCTAGACTTTCAGCTGCCTTTTGATGACCATTTCCAAGTGGGTCAATGGGCAAGGTGCAAAGCAGGTATTTCCTGGTTATGACTTCCCCCTGAGATAGTATACAGTTGTCACAGGCAAGACTCCAGCAAAGACTGAGGAAAGCCAGTCACTTATCTGCATGAGCAGATCACAGTCCATCAGGAGTCATGAAGAAAAGCAGTTACCGCATTGATTGAAGGAGAAGGGGTGGGACAAACTGAGGAACTGAGCAAGGATTGGAAGAGTGGGGCCCTGGCTGTGACTGCTGCCCAAGGGGAAGTTCTTGCAATGAGTGTAACAGCTGAAGGCTTCCCACTGGCCTTGAGATACTGACTTTGAAATGAATTAATCACAGAGGGGGCCTGACTGCTGGTGATTTGACAGTCACCACCCCCCAACATTGAGCTTCAAAAGAAAATCAGCAAATGTCCCCAAAGTCTATGATTTTGAAGAGGAAGAAGCCAGGGGGTACCAGCTAATTTGGAAACACCAAGTTTTGTCCCAGTTCCATCAAAGGAACCAGAACAATGGAGACTAAGCCAAGGGCACAAGCAATCTTGGAAATGAACCTGGGATCTCTCTCACTTACATGCTGGGTAACAAGTAACTTCATTTCTCTGAGCCTATATCACAGGTTGGTGTGAAGAGTTAGGTGAACCGGGATGCTGATTTTATCCATAGTGAATATTGTTCCTCGGGAAAGAGGCCCAGCCTGGTGGCTCTGGTGGCTCCTCCAGAGCCTTGGGCCATGGGAGAGGCCTCCTCTTGGGGAAAATAGAATCAGAGTATTGTTCAGAGTGTCTGAAACCCTTTGTCTGTCCTTCTGGGCTCTGGCTCACTTCGCCTTGAGCAGGTGGCAGGCTGGCTTTGTGGGAGTGAATGGGATTTGGAGGTGGCTGATCTGTCTGTATTACTGTAACTTCCCACCCAGCCTGGCCCAGCCCCAGGAGCCTGGCAACCTGGGTCCATCTATGCCTCTGTGACCACCCTGCAGGGAATTGGAATCTTTCACACAGACCCCTCCCTTGGTCTAGGAGCCTCTTGATGGCCTAAGAGCCACACTACTGTACAACCTGGAAATGTGGTTATCAGCTCTCAATCCTGCCCCCCACAAACACACACGCCAACTATACAGAACCTTCTGTTCTCTAAACTCTACACTGCGTCTTTGCCAGACTGTGTCCCCTACCTGAAACATTCTCCCGGACACTGCCTTCTTATCCTGGGCACACACAGATCACCACACTCTGATGGTCATCAGCAGCATGAATCAAGCCCCTACTGTGTGCAGTGTGGGGCAAGGAGAGGCAGGGTACCAAGAAACAGAGGTTCTGATCATCTAGTCCATAACACAGTCTGCTCCCGGCCACACACACACATAGGCATGCTCACCACCCTCCAGACTTTGGTTCACCCTTCCCTGCTTGTGAGCTGTCCCCTGTCACCTTGTGGTCCAATTAGAGTCCACTTTGGAGCCTGGGCTTGCATGCCCTGTCCTCCAAGTGTCCTGGCTGGGCATCTCCAGTGCTTACCTTTCCCCAGAGCTCCCACACTGAATTGGTGCTCCCTGGGGATATTCACAAAGCATGTTTAACTGCTGGCTGGGTCTATGTCTTCAGGTCTCTGTTGCTCCATGTGTGAAATGGGATGGTAACACTTAAATCTATGGTATGGTTGTCCAGTCAATGAAATAGTACACCAAGCACCTCATACTAAACTCTGTACAACATAACACCACCAGTAGCATTTTAATCTCTGTATCCTTAGCACCGAGCACAGGACTCAGGGCACAATTGGTACCAAATACTGGTTTGGTAGATGGATGAATAAATGGAATACAAGACAATCTTTGCTAGTCTCCATGGCAGTGGAAGAGATGGTGGGGGAAAACAGGAAGACCCTGAAATAAACTAATCTGTATTGTACCTACCACACTCAATGCTCAGCAAACATAAATTGTCTAATTTTAGCCTCACAAGAGGAAGAGATTACTGCAGAATGAAGAAGTGGATATTCCAAGATGTCAAGTCATGAATTAGCATCACACAGTGAGTATGAAGATGTCAGGGCAGATGACTTTCACAGTTTCCTTGAAACCTGAGAGTAGGGAGAGTACTGGCTCCAGGTCTTGCTGCCCTCGATCTTAGACTGCAAACTTTATGGCAGGCAGGATACCTTGGTAGGCAGGGCAGGGGTTCCCCATGTCAACTACTCAAGTGAGAACCTGGCTTTGAGGGAAATAAAAGGAATACAAAGAGAGAGGCTGGCCTGAGAGCAGGACTTGGACTCCTGTCCCTTGCAGTTGGGCTGGGACCTCCAAGCACCCTTTCTTAACGCAGCTGCAGCCCTCAGAGTCTCTGCACAGAAGGAGTTAACACTGCGCTTCATTCCTGGAGGAACCTGGAGCCTTTATTCCTTGGTCTAACCCCTCCCTGTCTTTGCAAAGTCTTCCTGATCTTTACTCCTCCTGCAGGTCCCTCCTCCTTACTCCCACCTCCCAACTTCAAAAGCACTCTGATTGCCAGGGTAGGTCAATGGTTAACACTCAGCAGCTTTATATAAGCCTGCCCGGGGCCACCTGCTGCTGGGCTGCCTCTGGTCCTTCAGTGCTGTAGCTTCCAAAGGCGGTGACTCTGGCAGTCCCGGTCAGTCCACACCATGGCCACCTGCTGGCAGGGCCTGTGGGCCTATCGCTCCTACCTGATAGTGTTCTTTCTGCCCATTTTCCTGCTGCCTCTGCCTATACTTGTCCCTGAAAAGGTAAGGACTTGTGGTTCTGGGCACAGATAACTCCAAGGGTGGCAGGGAAGGGACTGTCTGGGCCCCGGATGAGGCATCCTTAGGCACCCTTCCTCACCTCCCCTACCCTGGAAGTGAGGCTGCAACCTCTTGGTCCTCCTGAGGGCTGAGAGGCCAAAAGGGGCCTGCTTGGCACACAGGAATCAAAGCCCCATGCGAATTCTCAGTTGCATTGGAAATCTGTTGCCTTGAAGAACAGGAAGCCAGTTCTACAAAGGAGATGCAGGAGGGAGAAGGTAGACTTGATTTGCTTAAGATGTGCCCATCCAGTCCTGGACAGGGCTCAATGCTAGCCAGGGAGAGGGAGGAGAGGTCAGTGGCCAGGTTTAGAAGAAAGGAAGGAGAGTAGGAGAAGGCTGGCCTCAGGCAGTTTGTGCCTTCACAAGTGTAAACAGAAGGAAGTTTATCTGTGATCACAAAGGCTGGTCTGCCAAGAGGCGCACAAGAATTAAAAAGAGGACCCCCTACAATACTGCAGCCAGAGCACAGGGTCCCTGCCTCCTCCTCTAGCTCTAGCAGAAGGCCATGTGCAGAAGTTATAACTTTGGCTCTCACTCATTTGAGCCCCTGCTCTATGCCACGCACTGTGCACCTGTTCCCCATCTTATGAGGCAGATCTCACTGTCCCATTTTACAGATGGGGAAAGTGAGGGTAAGCCAATTACTCAAAGTCCCAGGACGGATTCTGGTTTTGTGGAGCTTGGTTCTTATGCTCTTTTAGGTTTCTCTGTAACAGAAAAAAAACCCCACAAAGTTATGAATCTAAAATTAAACTGGGGCTTTGGGAAGGGTGGGCCAGGAGAAAGGTCTTTTAGTTCAACTTCACCATACATCTGCCTCTGGCAGAACTTGGGGTATGGCCTTAGTTCCGAAGCTGAAACAGACTCCTGGCCCTGGTACCACCCTATACCCTCAGAACTGCTCACTGAGCCGTTCTCTTTCTTTTGCTACAGAGAAATAAGGAAAGCTTTTTTGTTTATGGTGTCCCAAGGGTGAGGGTCTGGGATTACAGTGACACAGCACCTGGGCCCTGACACCTGGTGAGTGATAAGGCCTGACTGATCTTTGAGATGACCTTCTTCTTGAACCAAAACCAGTGACATCTCTACATAGGGATCTATCAGATGGATTTTCAGATAGGTGGTGACTTCACCACCTTGGGAGAAGAAACCCAGAAAGATTCAGTAACTCATCCGGGAAAACCTGACTTAGCGTGAGAAGTTGTGGCTCTTAGTGGGAGTGTAATGTGTAAGGATCCCCAGCCTTCACCCTGCTATCCCTGGCCCTGCCACCCCTCTCTGACTCCATGAACTGTCCCAAGAGACCAACCACTTCTTGGGCCTCTGGGTACCTTTCCCTAGAAAGGACTCTGCTCCTGCAATAATCCTCTCCTTCTTACCTGATCGATTCCTCCTACCTGCCTCACTGTCCTATCAGAATATAACATACAGTAATACCTATGTCTTAAAAAAAAAAAAAAGACTCCTCTTATCAGCCCACATTCCCTCCAGACACACCTTCCTTCCCTGCACAATCTCAAAGACATTGCCTAGGACACATGCATGCTTTGTCTCCTTGATCAGCTCCATCTGGGACTCAAATCACCATCAGCTTCCATGGTACCAACCCCTTGGTCCAGTCCTACCTTCCTCAACCCCTCAACAGCATTTATCAGAGTTGGCTACACCCTCTTTGCCATGCTGTCCTCTGTTGACTTTGGTGACACCTGGTTTTTTTCCTACCTTTCCTGATTCCTCATGTATCCCAGGGTCCCTCCTGTACCTCTCCCATCTCCCAGGTGATCTTATGCTGTCTCATGCTTTTCAAAATTGTCTCTATACCTATGGATTCCCAGTCGTTAACCCCAGTCCTCATCTCTACACTTAAGTCATCCAAATAGCCCTAGATACCTCCTCCATTGGAATATTTTCTTTGTAAGCACCCTAACCTTTTCTCTGTCCAAACTGAAGCCCTGATTGCCATCTTCTCCAGTGGGTTCGTCCCATGGTCCTGCAGAGAAACTCATCAGCCTACTACCTAGTGGTGCTAGCCAAAAACTCAGGTCATTCTAGGCTGCTTCCTCTCCTTCATCTCCACATGCACCAATAGGTCCTGTGCACTCTTGGTCCCCAAAACACTACAGATGCACCCAACTTACAATGGGGTCACCCTAAGTTGAATCTTATTGTAAGTTATAAATGTGTTTAATACACTTAGCCTACCACTAGCCTAGCAACACAGCACACTGCTGAGCCAGGTTTGTTTACCCTGGTTAAGCCAGGCTTTTGCCTTGTGGCTGAATCAGAGCTGCAGCTATTACCAGAGAGCATCTTACCATATGTCACTAGCCTGGGGAAAATTCAAGTATAGAATTTGCAGTATGGTATCTACTGAATACATGCCACTTTTGTACCTTCATAAAGTCAGAAAATCAAAAATTGAACTATCATAAATCAGAGATCCCTGCACTCCAAATGAAATTAGTCCCCACCTGAAAGATTGTCTCTTCTCTGTCATTTCTCACCTATTCCTCCCCTTCCTAGACCATTCTTCACTCAACAGTTGGTTTGTTTATTTGTTTGTTTTTTATGGTGGCACTGGAATTTGAACTCAGAGCCTCACGCTTGCTAAGCAGGCGCGCTTACTGCTTGAACCACTCCACCAGACCTTAACCCAACAGTTGGGACAATCATCTCAAAGCCAAAGATCACATCACTACCCTGTTTATAACCCCACACTAGCTTCCCATCGAACTTGGAGATAAATCCAAGCCTCTTATAATAACCACAAGACCCTGTGGCCCCACCTCTCCTGACCCCTCAGACTCTATCCCCTACATCTTATCTCTGCTTCTCTCTCCTGCAGCCTCTACAGCCTTTCTCTCTGCTCCTCAAATTCCTCAGCCCCTGTCTGACTGTTCTCCCAGATGCCTCCTTCTCATTCCCTAGGTTTCTGCTTAAATCCGTCTCAGAAAAGCCTTCTCTGCCCACTGAAGTCACTCTCTCTGACATACCCCTGTTATTTTATTTGTAGAGTGGTCAGTTTCTAAAAGCATATTATCTGTTTACTTTCTACTCATTCTCTGACTTCCTGCCTTAGAAGGTAGAGCAGTTGCTTCATCTTGCTCGATGCAAAATTCCAGGTGCTGGTGCATGGTAGATGCTCAGAAAATACTTGTCGAATGAATAAATGAAGGAATGTTGTATCTCTGCTCTCTATAATCAGTCCCCAAGCTCAGCCCCATGACCCTGGCCTTCATCGTGGGAAGGGAGAGCCCCAGACAAGGTTCAGATCTATGTCCATGATAATAGTCGACATTTATTGAGTATAGTTTATGTGCTTGGCATTGGGCCAAGCACTTCAAAGCATTAGCTCACTTATTTTCACAAAAGCCTCTGTGTTACTGCTACCTCCACTTCACAGCCATATAAACTGAGGCCCAGAGAAGTAACGTAATTTGCTTGTAGTTCTATCTAGAAGAAAAGCTGGGACTAGAACCTGGTCTTGGGGTCTCTCTACCTGAGGCTGTCTAAGGAGGCAGGGTGATATATATTCCCATTCCAGTCCCTCTCAAGCCTTCTTCCTTTATCCAGCCTCCTTCCATCTCAGATATCTGTGGAACTCTTGCTCTGGGTTCAGGATTATTAGAAGGGAATACAGGTGTTCTGTCCTCAAGCTGGTGATGGTTCAGGTGTTAATGCCACATAGAGATATAGCAAGAAAGCTGTAGCATTAAGAGGAGGGATCAATTCTTCCAGAAGAATCAAGGGGGGGATCTGAAGCAAGTGTCTTTGAGTAGTCTTGAAGGCTGGGGAGACTGAGCAGTTAACGACATGCACAGAGGGCAGGCTAGGAGAGGGCAGCCAGGAGAAAGGCACAGGACTGGGAATAACAGGGCATGTGAGAGGAATGGCAACATGACCCTTGGAATGCTGGTCCTCTTGGATGGTACCAGCAGACTGGGGACAGTGGGACCTGAAGCCTTCTTTCCTCTTGCCCTCCCAGCCCTGCGGTCACAGCACCATCACTATGACAACAGCCTTACAACTACTCATCCGTTCATCCATTCCTTCACTTTTGGGCAAACCCAGGACTCAGTACTGTGTGTCAGATACCATTTAGGTGTATTGCAGACAGGATGTGGGGGAGCTAAGGGGAGGGATGGGGAAACACACTAAAAGCATATGCTGTATAAGCCATGGAAACAATACAGCAGTTGTGGCCATGGTCTGGGGAGGAGCCACCCTCGGTACAGTGCTCAGGACAGGCCTCCTGAGGACCAGACAGTTACCCTAGGACCCAAATAGCAAGCAGGTAAAAGCCGGTCAAGCCCAGCTCTGGGTGAAGAGCCGTCCAGGCAGAACATGCAGCAGGTGCAAAGGGCCAAGGATAGGGATGAGCTTGGCAAAGTAAAGAGATAAACAAGGCCAGGGTCACTTCAGGGGCCTGAATGACAAGATTGCTTAGTCAAGTTCAGAGATGAGTGGAAAGGTTGGCCAATGTCAATCTGTATAAACAATCTCCCAATAGCACAATGTCAGCCAAGACAGATCTGCTGCAAGAGCAGAGGCAGCAGAATTTCTTACTCTTTGAACTACCCGCACTCCTGGAATACAAGAACGGTTTGTGTGTGCATTAGAATCAGTGTCAAGTACCCATAGAGCTGTTCTGAAGCCAAGTGCCAGTGGCTCATGCCTGTAAGCCTGGCTACTTGGGAGGCAGAGATAAAGAGGATCATGGTTAGAAGTCAGATGAGGCAAAGAGTTAGTGAAATCCTACCTCAAAAATTCCCAACACAAAAAAGGGCTGGTGGCCCAAGTGATAAAGTGCCTGCCTAGCAAGTGTGAGGCCCTGAATTCAAATTCCATTACCACCAAAAAAAAAAAAAAACAACTGTCTGAAACCCAAAGGCAGAGAACTGGGATGATTTACCACAGCCATGAAGACTATACAAGGAAGGA